TTGATACCATAGATAAATCTAATTATTTAAATCGCACGCTTTACTATGATTGATTGTAATTTAATCTATATTAGCCATGTCATAGTAAATCCAGAGCTCCCAACACCTTTAACAATATATTACTTTCGGAGAATTTCAAATGCGTATATAGACACCGATTGTGAATTTTAATAAGACAAGTAAAATAAAAACCTAATTTTATGTTCTCAACACTTATTTGTACGTGAGAAGCACATCAAAGTTAAATTAGGAGGTCAAAAAATCGCCGCAAACGTCATTGTCATTATGAAATGACGTCACACAGGGTATTACATAGAACATTACACAAATCGTTACTTCGTAATTTTTAGGGAAAAAAGTAGACAACATTAATTTTTCGTGAAGGTCAAACTAATACAATGTGTCGGCACAAATAATTATTCATCTTACATAGGCTTCTTCTTGCAAAAAAATCGAAATAAATTATTAAATTGTGGGCGTCAGGTTGAATGTGACAGAATTTATGGCGCGAAAAATAACGTTTGCTGTGGGAAAATAACAACAAAAATTCATTCAAATAATCGCGCTAGAGGCCATGGCTGCGTTCACATATTACAATAGCATTTTATTTACACATCATTGTCAGAACTTTCTTTTAAGTTTATCCCACGTACATTCTTTCAGTTAAAGTGAGTGCAATCTGAAAACATCTTTCACTTGATAGCATATTAAATTAAAGTCATTCATTAGTCACATTTTCATAATTAATTTTCTTTTTTTATAAATTTTTAATATTTGTCAGTTCGGGCCTTCATAGTTTCATATCTTTATTAACTAACTATTTCAATACATTTGTACGACGTAAAAATACTTATGTCTAGTAAACATACATAAAGAAAAATTCAACAACATCAATGACATACACTTCCCATTAGCATACTTTCTTATACCTTTACCTTTTTGTTTATTTTTACGCCAAAAACAAACATTTTTTTTTTTGATACAGTATGATTATCTAGAGTCTTGACGTGTGTCTAAGACCTGTTAGCTGAGCAGCTGAGCCAGTCCTAGCTAAAAATAAATATAACGCACTATAAAGAACTGTCGAGAATCGATGCACAATTTAAATAATTTCCAACTCTATTTCAAGATGGTAAACTAGAAACTCAATTAAATTAATCTTATCTTAGGTATCTTAAGTTGTACATATTATTTTTCTTTTCCTTATATTATTTAAAATGTATTTTATGGAAATAAAAAAGAAATAAAAAAATTGAGTATGCATGCATATTGTAGTAATTCACAACACACGCAATGGGGATGATGACAGGGTATGAAAATTAAAAATATAATTAGTCCGTAATTTAGGTAAAAAAAAAATATTAAACACGTATTTTTTTATTTTGTTGTATAATAAAACAATACTTAGATAAAACGAATCAAAGTTTAGGAGTGGGGGCTAAAACGTCATTTCTTAGTATAAAATGTACTGAGAAGTGACGTCACGCGACATTTCAAATCAATATATATTCGAAACTATTCGTTTCCGTAAGAAAATAAAAAATACGTGTCTAATGTTTTAAAATAATCTACCAGACGGACATTAAAATAAAAATTAGTCGTCTACCCCATTAAAAAAACCAACATCACATTAAAAAAAATTGATGTTCTTTGGGTTAGCTTGTTGTACTGATGTTGACATAGTACCTAAACTTAGTTCAGAATGGAATCTAAAAAACCTGTTTGTTTTTAAAAAGTATTTACCTACTTATTATTTGCATTATCCTTAGTCCTTAATCTACCAAGAAATGTCGTTGCAGAGGAAATTCCTGAACAATATTGTAATCACTCGCTTTGTTTGATTTTATTTACATCAGAGATAATAACTATAAGTTATTACCTCTTCCACGTCTTCTTTCTTATTACCTTTTCTTCGTCAGTTAAATAACGCAAAATAATGAAGTTTTAGAATGTTTTTTTTAACACTTTATCTTTGAAAAAGTTAGATAGATGCCAAAGTATTTAATATTATCAAAATTACATATCACAACATCGTGCCTTTTATTCCGAAGGCGTAGGCAGAGGTGCACATAAATTCACTGCTCCTGTACAATGTAACAGCCACTTTTCACTATTTATGTTACGAGTAAAATTACCTATAAGTCGTAAATAATAAAATGAATAATTCACACCTGTTATATCACCGAAAAGATACGAAAAGCCATATCTATAACTCAGCACGTGTTTTTTTCATCGGTGCGATACCATATTATCATTAATTAAATTATAATAGGGGTTGATTATATCGATACCTATAGAATAACCAAAAAATGGTAAAAACTTCAATTTACCTACAAAAGAACTTAGAAGGATCTTTAGTAGAACTTAACGACCGCACAACGTAGGCATAAAATATTAGATAGGTATATAATATCTGAGAACAAAAGATTTACGATTCCTTTTAGATAAAAATAATTAAGTAATCCATTGGTCAGATAATATAAGCACCAAATAATATAAAATTCTTTATTTTATCTAATAGATAGGGGGGGTAAGCGTGGTCTTAAGTTTTTGCAAATTAACATTATGTTGATAATTACACAATTATCTATTGATACAACGTTAGCTTACGCAATTAACATGATAAGTAATCAATGAAAAGATAAAATTGTTTTGCAATCGAGAATTTCAATAAAAAAACTTCCTTCCCTGTAAGTACCTAGTTCTTAATAAATCGTTATTATAAAGAATCATAAACATTAACAATGAATTGTTTATAGAAAACATATATAACAAAAGCTTATTGAGAAAACTATGGTACCTAATTATTTTGTGCTAATAAAAGAATTTATTATAATGCAATAAAATTAAGCAAAACTGCAAAATAAGATTTATGAATAGTATACAAATATATGAAAATGGCTGAAGAATTTTGGAATGACTTTTGGAACAGACATGGCCGATGGTCAGTGCAATAAACAGCACATAGCTGTTTATTGCACTGATACATGAGTAAGATGTATTAGAGAAATGTAAGTACCTATAGGTAGTTTCGGTTGAATTATTCCTTGAATTAAAAGTACCTATTAACTTTTTAGTCGGCTACTTATTTCACAAATCTGACTAGACTATGGGAGAATCCTACTTACTAATAAATAGCAGGTAATCCAGGTACAAAGCATTAATAAATCTGAACTTATCTAACCATCTTTTCAAGTAACTGTGTAGTATTATAAAAGCGAAAGAACCTGTGTTTATTTGTTTATCTGTCTTTCTGTCACGTCGCCACGGATGTTTTTGTGGTATGTGACTTCCTTTGACCATGCAGGTGAAGTCGTAATAACAGTTAGTACATAGGTAACTGACCAATATTTACTAATAGAAACTTCATAAATAAAAGTGCATTGTCTTCTGCATTTAAAATAACGGTTCCTTAAATATTTCGAAAGTAAATGTGTTGCACCTCATAAAATTAATAAATTTTAATGGTCTTACGTAAAGACTAACTAATTTTTAGTATTGCAATATTATCCCTTTAACCGCCAAGATTCTGAACTTTCAACTTACCTCCAGCGCCACGTCACTTTAGGTATAAGTTGGAACAGTGTTGGGAACACTTAATATCGATGCACATATTCTTTATTAATTAAAATCAATGTTTTATTTACCTACTTAATAAATAATCTAAAAATTTTCAATCTTCAAACGAAGTATACGAAAATGTGTATTCGGGAAATGGGCACGGCGTCGTCCGTTCTCCTGCTGGCGACGGTGACGATGCTCCACGAGCATGTCGTATTAAATTTAATAATTTCATGTAAACTTCTGAGCGGATTTCCGACAGTACGGTTTCCAGCTCAAAAGGTTTTAAAGATGCAAAGTATTCATTTCGTGGATCACTTGGTCTCTGATCAAAAACTTTTGCGTCACCATCTTCTAACTTTGCATAATGGACACATTTGGTTTTGACTGTGTTGATTTATTTGAGAAATAACAAAAACCCAAAAAAGGGCTTACAACACTAGTTGCATTGAGTGATAAATGTTTAACGTGATTTTACGGTGACGGCGCTAAGGCAACTCACAATACAGCGCTATAATCTCCTTGGCCGCACGTAATATTACGATGATGGCGACCGGCGATTGTCCGCACTAGTGCGGTTCTGCGTTATGAAATTTTTATATTATTGTTATAAATATTAAATAATTTTAAACTTAAATACATTTTAATTAGTACAAATACTTGCATCAAAGTAACACTATGGTTATTTTCTAATGAAAGTATACACTTTCATTGCAAATAGTGACAGTAATATCTATAGTGCCTTGTTTGTTCTTAGACAACCTATTAAGTATTTTTCGAATTCGCCCCATCCCTAGTACTCGTAAAATTACGTGATTGGCGATACAGATAATGGAGACGGTGACCACAATTTAATTAAACCTCAAATTTCACAGTATTTATCACTCAAAACATTGAGAAATATCCATAACAATAAAGATTATACCCTACATCTTGAAATTGACACATTTTATATGGAGTTTGTGCACTATAAGAAGATTTTTAATAAAATAACGTGATTGTACGTATGTGGCGATTCGGACAAGCTTTCGAAAACCGTAATATTACGTTGTCGGCGGTTAAAGGGTTATGCAGTGTTCATTTATTACGTTATTTGTAGTTGTAGTATTATAATAATGTTGATAACATGTGTTTATAGATTTTTGTATCAATGTCGGTACTTATATCACTTTATCTGTACCTAGGTACTGACAAGGGTGTCTATTGTGTTTTCATTCCTGAAAATGTATTGAAAAGAAAGTGTTCGATTGACTTATCTAAACGAAAGTGATACCTTACCTTTTTGAATGTCTCTTAATTTCTTATGACAGAATGTTGATTAAAATATATTTTCATACATTTTCAGAAGTAATAAAAATCTTGCACTTGGTCCTTCACTTGGTTACATTATTCAAATAAATTATCTTTTACTGAAATACAAATTTAAAAAATAAACTTACATTTTTCGGTCCAATGTCGAAAAAAAAACAGCCAGCACTGATCCGTAATAAACTTGAATATTGCACAAAAAATTACTCAACAGTTTTTAAATTTCGAATAACTTTTTTTTAATTAACTTTTACCGGTGCGATGTTGCGACAGTTTTGGAGCTCACTACACATGCGACCGCCGCGCGAGTCAGCGACTTTGTGAACGCAACCGGTGACCGGCGACCGCGGGCCGATTAGCGGAAGCGGGGTTTCATACGACCGTCATCTACGGTACACCGGTGATTGTACTATATTGTCACCGTGGGATATTGCGACTTCTTAACACAACATAGGTTACATGAAACGTAGGTAACACCTTTCACTGGTTACGTTTGTTATTAATTATCATCATCACTTCTGCCACAAACACATGCTTTGCTGAACATATTCATTCTCCGATGAATTACAGACAATCCGGTTCCCTTGTGGATATTCTTCATTACACTTGCCGGTACGTGGTCTCCAGAACTTTTCTACCCTATCGACCGAAATATTCTAGTCCCCTGTAGCAGGAAATGGATGGTCACTACCCATTACAGACAGCGAGCTGCTACAGACAATTTTCAAAAAATGACTGCTCAACATGGGAATGTGGAGCAAGACCCTTTACTTGACAATCGGGCTTACATCTAACTACAAGAAATGTTATATTATACTCGTATTATGGGGTGTTATAGGTAATAACACACTATTGAAAATGAATAAAAACATACAGCTTCGAGTTACCGAGTAGAAAGTCGAGTCTTAGTTTAACAAAACATTAATGTATATTTGATTACTATGGCGTATGTCGTACGTAAACATCACTTTATGTTATACATTTATATTATGTGATGTAATCGTTAGTCGTCTAGATACCGATTATCACGATTCGCGATTACTACGAAGTACCGACCGATTGAACAGTTGAGGTTGGGCTGGAGCAGATTATGCATCAACCGAGCTATTAAAAAAAGATCAATAAGAATCTTTATTCAAATTAAATATTAGATTATTATTATTATAAATAAAATCGGAGTGTCTGTTTGTAATATTAAAATAACCGCTTTTTACTACATACATATAAGTAAATATACATACGATATACACATACCGAAATAATATTTTTTACAATTTTGGCCTGTTTTTTGTACTGGCAAATCTCTGGAATGGCTAGATAGATTTTGCAAAACTTTTATTAGCAGGTAGCCGATGTACCAAAGAGTAACATAGGACACCTTACATAAC